ATTCAGATACGGAATAAGCAAGGAGTTAAAGGCTGAGCTGGAAGCCCTCAGTTTTTTTCAAGTGTGGCTTTTGTTTTGGAAGGCCGTGTTGATCTGTTTAGCGTAAGTGTGCACCGGTCAAATCCGGGATTTGCTTTATTACCTTGAAACAAATTTAAATTTTGTACATATTTTGCCAGATGGTATGGACAGCTTTATGTGGGCCTTGCTGGGTTTTGATCTGGATAGTCCTGACATTGAAATTCTTTTAAATTATGATGTTATGTAGTTTGTTACTTCGTTGAATTGTGTAGAGCTTTCTGTCAGAAATAACAAAGAGGCTTCACTTCATTGTCTGTTTTCTCAGCTTAAATTTAACTTAAAGATTTAAAATACTTGTGACGTTTGGGTCTTAGTATCTTGGTTGGCACCTTTCCTGCAGGAGCAACTTTCAGTGGCTTTTGGTCAGACTTCGTATTCAATTTGTACTTAAAAACCTGGTAATACATTCTGTGGGATGGTAATTCCATCTTTTGTATATGGAAGTGAGAATTAATTGCCTTGTTGTCCTAATAAGATCTGTTAAGGAAAGGTAAAAAATAACATCCGTAAAATTCGGTGATACCTCTCCGAAATGCCTTATTTCACATCTTCCACTATTCCCCTGGGCAAAAGATAAGAGTAGATGGATGTGCTGAGATAATATTATTTTCTTTCCTTAAAGAGGGTTTTATTCTTAGCCTCTTGAAATGGGAAAGTCAGGGGAAGGTTCTGCTGCTACAAGTCTGCCATTAGAACCAGAAAGTATTAAAATAATTTTTTATGTGTGAAACGGTTATTATTATCAGGGAAGGCTAATAAATAGTATTTTTTTGGTCATGGAGCTTATGGCCTGATGAATAGGAAGAAGGCTTTTTTACTATCATATAGTCCTTTTGGGAGAGAGAGGGAGATGTAATGTTTTCAGAGTGTTCTAGGAAGGGACATCTTTTGTGAATCCTGGCAATGCATGCTTCTTCAGGGCATCGATTCTTCTCCAGTTCTTCAGGGCAACAGAGCACAACTGGAAGCATCATTTTGCTGTTTGCAGTTTTACTCAGTTAGAACCTGTGCTAGAGATTTAATAACCTGTTCTCCGGATAAGTAGCTTTGTTAGTGACCACAGTCCCTTAAAGATTAAAATTGGGCTCTTTTTACAGTAAGATCTGATAATGTAATTCAGAAGACAGATCTGACAACTGTTAAAATACTAATTTTCAGGGTAAATAGAGGAAACGAATACAGAGGAGTAAAACAGATGAGTTAAGTCATCTTTGTTGAGAATTGTTGATCTAAATGTTGAATTATAAGGACAACCATCTGCTTGACAGCTGTTTAGTTTACCAGATTTTGCATTTTGCTAAGCCAGTGCTGGTTCCTTTCTTTTAGCAAATCTTTGTTCTTTAGTTTTGCTTCCAGAAGAAGATATATTTGCATGCAATTTGTTTTAATTTCGAAAGTCTGCATGCAGACAGGAAGTTTTCTATGAGTGGTTTGATCTTTCTGTAAAATATCTGTGGATGTAAGCACAAAGAGGATTAGGAAAACTTGCTCCTAACTGAAAAATTAATAAAAAGTCAACATTGGATGTGAGCACAGTCCAGAATCAAGGTGGAAATTTTCTCTAGATTATTCTTGACTGCTGGACTGCCAGTGAATGCTGATTAGACTTAATACCAACCCATAAACTACCCTGTAAAGCTAATTTCTCAGCAAGAGACCGTGTGAAAACCAAGATGACATTAATAAATAATACATATTTTACATTTTTCCTAGGATTTGCTACTCTTGGGCCTTTCTGCAGTTTCTGAAATATTATTCACTTTTCTCCAAATTTATTTTTGGGGGGCTAGTGGTGGGTTTTTTTTTAAAGTAGGAAATAAATCATCTTTCATCTTGCTGCCTAATTAAGTATGCATTACAGTTTTGGTCGTGGCAAGTAAAATTAGAGCTGTCAAGGTGAAGGTGAAAAATATGCTTGTGGTATATTGTATGTTTCAGTTGTGGGAACAAGGTGAAAGAACATAATAGACATTTGAGGTAGAGAAAGAATAAATGAGAAAATAGTATCTATGTTCTGGATAACTGCTACTTTTTTTTATTTTGACATAACCCTAAAATATCATCCATTAAATAGTAACTTTGTGATACGGTTATCGTCTTTTAAACATGAAAACAGTTAATAGTCTAACTGTAATTAATAGTCTTCTGCTCTATTAATTTATCAACCATGATCTATCATAATCAAGTTAAGGGTGATTAAGGAGTCAAAATCATCAAATATACTTTTGTTTATAAAATATACTCAAGTGCTTACCTAATATCTAGTCTCCTAATTCTTAGTATTAGTCTCCTAATATATGTTAGAGTAATAAAGGTGCACAAAAAGACTGCTCTATGGCTTTTGTAAGTGTTAACAACCCTAAAAATAATTTTGAATTTGGAATGTATGCTTATGTGTTGTGTTAGCTCAATAGTGACCTGTTCTGCTTGGGGCCTTTGGACCCTGATGTCATTTTAGTATTTTAACTGTTTTCTTGTTTTGTTTTTTCCTTGAAAGCTGTGGTTGCTGATGGGTAAGACTTGAAAGAGAGATGGAGTAATGGAAAGTAAAGTGTTCGTTTGGAGTGTGTAGCTACTTATTACTGCTTCAAGGAAAAGTACACAAATGAGAGCTTTATGCCTTGAATGCAAGTTTTTGTCACATTAATTTGGAATGCTGTGACATAAGGCAATATTGTACCTTAATGGTGTCTCAAAGATCCTTCTACTTGAAATGATTTTATTTATTTAAAAGTAAGAGCTGGATTTACAAGATTAAAGACAAACTAAGTAATAAAAGTTCAGTAGTAATTTTTGGCAGTCTATTAAAGCCAGATGTGGGGGATATCGAAAGCTATTAACATTTGTTACTGAATTTTCTATGATTGACAGAAATTCTTTCTGAGGAGGGATAATGTTTTGATATATATATATTATATATTCCCTTTTTATTATATCTGAGTCCCAAGCTGCAGAATTCCTAATAGTGAAGAAGTCGCCTTTTTTTTTTTTTCCTGTTTTTATGGTTTTATTTAAAAATATTTTATTTCTACAGTTCTAGAGGAAAAAGAAAAAAGAAAAGGAATTCCGTTATTGTACTAATTAACATGATGAATGCACAAATGCTTCATTTTCAGACTGTAGGTGAAGACATAGTTGTGCAAAGTTTTCAACAAACTTTGTGTGTATTCCACCTATGGATATAGTTCACTCTGTCACAAAGGAGTAGTAGTATATCAGACGTGTCCTAACATGGAAGACTCTTGACAGTGTGGTACTTGCATGTATGCATCAAGTGTAGCAGCAGCTCTGTTGTTGAATGACCTGGTATACTGTAGGGCTTTGCCTCAGGATCTGGTAAGAAAAGTAACTAACGTGTTACATTTCAGACACTAATCCAGATAGCTCACTTGATAGAATAAAACTAACCCATTGTTAGTAATGTTGCCTTCAGCTTGTGAAAGATACAGCAAGTACCCTCATGCCTGAGCTGCGCAGGGTTCCCTGTGCTTAAAAGTGCAAGACCAGAAGGGTTTGACTGGAGATTTTGAGAACGGAGGACTTGACTGTTTCGTCCCCTTCTTCCTAGAAGTAAAGGGTATTTTAAGGCAATTCACAGTAAATCCAACTTCTGCATTTCTCAGTATTGTGGAGTAAATAGTCATAAGTAAGAAGGAGGTTTTGATTTTTGGCAGCTGAAGCAAAAGGAGTCCCAGCTAATTGAAGAGAGTGGAAACAAGCTGGAAAGATAATTCAGGAATATACTTGACAGTATGACAAGTCGTTTATCACGTTTTTGTTACCTGTAATTTCTGTAGGTCTTTTAGCATGTTTTGTACCTTACTGGGGTCTGGATGTTTAAATTACATTTAATTAATAGTTTTATATTTCTTTTGTTAATAAGCTATATATTCTGTGACAGATGTTTTTTGAGATGAAATCTGTATGTCAGGTTTGGTGTGTTATATTTTCTTTTTAATGCATGCAATAGTTTTACTGGGTGCTCTTCAGTAATGTTGAGATAAAGGCAAGACTAAACGATGTTATTAAAATTGCTCTTTTCAGGACTAGATGCTATAGTTAAATAGTAACTGTTTCATTAGAGGCTTCTCAAGAAAGCAAATGTAAGTTCAGCTTGAAAGTTATGCTATTGCAAAATAGAACAGGTGCTTGGCATCATTCTTTTTTCTGGTTTTGTCTTAGTACGGCATAAGTAATGTGATGCAGCAAAATATTAGTGCATATTAGTGTACTGCTCAAGGATGAATCAAAGCGCATACTAAAATGCTAAACAAGGCCAATGGCCTGTATGAACAATGCAGCAAAAATCTTGGAAATGTAAATGTCACTTTATACTCTTGTGTAGATCTCAGGATAAGTTTTCTAAGAATATGAACTGATTGTATCCCAAAACAGATAATAGCAATATTTTTAGCACTTAAAGAATTTTCTTTGTGATGATAATTTTCTGAAAACTACGTTCAGTTCTTAATAATTGCTGCAAGGGCTTCTGGTACTACCATTGAATTGGTGAGAATAGTTATATAAGGCTTCACAGAAGTGCTCAACCATTCCTCCTCCTCAAAAAAAGAGTGCAAACAAAAATTCTTGTTTCATGTAACTCTTCATGATTTCTTTCTTTTTTTTTTTTTTTTCAGTGTATATGTAGGAGTATATTGCAGATATGCACTGCAGATTTCCTGTTCTCTTAGTCATAAGGAACACTTGCTCCTTATTTCTGATATTAGAGTATTTTGAGCAGTTTCAGAAAATTGATTGCACCGAAACATACATTTATTTGTCCCTTAGTCCACTTCAGAAATGGAACAGATAACTGATTCCTCCATTTTTGCCTGTAAGTGTATCCATGAATGAGCATTTGACAGCAGCTAGACTTTCTAAACTGCTTTAGAAACAGAACTCTGGTTTTGTTTCAGCAGCAAATGGTGGGAAAGGAGCAAGTTTAGGATTGATCCTTCTGAAGATGGCCTCTGAGCTCTGGAGTGTATAGTTGTTTTTTTTTAGTGCAGGTTCTTTGCTTAGGCTTTCATACAACAAGAACTGTGGAAATTTAATGCATTTCAGGTGAGGATTTTGAATAGCACTGCACACAGAACTACTTTGTTTTTTGGTGAAGGAAAACCAGGTTTATGTAACTAGAACAAGTCGGTTGATGGAACGCTATTTTGCTCATATCAAGATACTCAGAACAGGTATTTTAAGGGAATTAACAATCAGAAACTGTAATAAATGAACATTTGCAGCTAGCAGCATATAGAATATCTATACTTTTAAAGATTTCCTTTATCCTACTATTTGTGCTGATGTCCTTCCTTTTGACTTTGTTTGTAGTTTAAAAATAACATATATAAATCTTTGACAGTTTTTCTGCAAGGCAAAGGCTCTGGACCAGCGAAGGAGTTGCTAAGGAGTCTCTCTAAATCAGCAATCCAGTTTATTTAGTTGTGTCCTGGGTTCATCAGGACAGTTATTTTTCTTCCCAGTAGCTGGTGGCATGCTGTGTTTTGGCTTTAATCTGAGAACAATGCTGATAACACAGATGTTTTCACTGTTGCTCAGTAGCTCCTATCCTGAACAAGGACTTTTCAGTCTCTCATGCTCTGACAGTGAGGAGGGGCACAATTAGCCAGGAGAAAGCAGAGACAGGACACCTGACCCAAACTAGCTAAAGGGGTATTCCATACCACAGCACATCATGCCCAGTAAATAAACTGTTCTTACCTCAACCTGTGGGTTTTATCAATTCTCTTCCACCCAGTGGTGAGCTGGTGGCTATGTGCTGCTGTGTTACCGGCTGTGTACAAACCACTACAAGCTGTAATTAAGAAGGGAGGTAAACTACCTTTCTTGTGGAGCTGGGATTTCAGACATCTGGAAAAAGACCACCTTACCTGATGGTGGCTGTGCCATTCTGCATACTGTAATAGTAGCTACAGGTACCTGGTATAGGAGACAAGGTCCTTGATTTCCTTACCTGGGATTCTCTGTTGATACCTAATCAGTTCATGTGACTGGCCCCAGAATGCTGGAGTGCTTGTGGTTCTCCCTCTTTCCCACTCTTTTTTTTTTTTTCCCCCCTTAAATTTTTTGGAGCCATTTTGTCAGGGTCCTTATTTTTCAGTTATTTGGAAGGATCTGTCTCACCTGGGAACATCAAACAGGCTCATTACATATTTTAATAAATATGTAAATTCAGATCCTGGTTTTAATTTGTTCTTCATCATGTTCCTGTGATGATAAGAGTGTTTGCTGGCTAATGCTGCTTATTGCCTATGTCCCTTCAGGAAGCTGTGGTAATGAAGTCTTGTGGCCTGCTTTTGATACTCATAGAAGACCAACAAGATCTTGGCACTGTACATGTCCATTAAGAGTTCTGCTGCCAGCAGTAGTTGCAGGTAGAAAAAGGAGTGGAATAGAGAACAAAAGCAGTGGCTTGGCTTACACTGCTTTGAACATGTTTAGTATGAATATGCATTGAACTCTGGCAAGCCAACAGCTTTACCTTCCTTACTTCCTTTTTTTTTTTTTTTTTTTTTTCTTTTCTGGACAGGATCCAATGCCAAATAATGGCTGTGATCCATTACGTGGAATATAGTTATTTATTACTTGTAGAAATGAAACAAGTTTATTAACCATCTTTAGATTTCTATCTGGCTCAGATTAGCATGCTATGTAAGTGATGTGATTGTAAAGGTTAGCTGTATAAAGATAGCTTGATTTACAGGCCTGCTGCTGAGGTTCAGGTTTGTTTTTTTCGTCTGTAGCTTGCAAAGATAAATGTTCATTGATTTCTGTGGCATCTGTGGGTGTCTGAATTGTCTCCAGGTGGGCAACAGTTCATTTCTAGAAACTGCCACCACATTTGTGTGAATTGACAGTTGTCTTTAAAGTCTTGACAGAAAGAAGAATGAATGGCTGCAAGTTTGTTTGCTCTTTCAGCCTATTAGGTGTTTCTTTCAGAGAGATTTAAAGGTGGCTATAGTGCCTCGTGTGCTGCTTTCTGTCCTTCTGCCAACGAAAAATGTAATGGCAAAGCAGAAGAAAAATGTGTCATGGGTGTTGGATTTGTTGTTTTGTGGTTTGGTGTGTTTTTTTTTTTACTCTGGCAGTTTGTCCAGAATTTAATATTCTGGGTTGGCAATAACGCTCATCTCTCAAAGTTTTAACAGCAATGTGTGCCATTGGGTTTAGATTATATATGGTACAGCTTTTATTCAGAACTGAGTTATATGAAAATCTGCATGTGGTCGTATTTTTTCTTCTCCTTTGCGTAATCATACAAATTAAAAAAGAGCTGAAATACTAAATATATGTTTCCTTGAAGGAGAATACTCTTTGTGTACTTAAAACTAAGATCGATTACAAATGTAGAAATTACTAGCAAAGGTCCCCTGACCCCCTTTGTTTTGGTTGAGCCTTATTTTAATGCTTTCATTTACCTGAAAATGGACATTTTCAGTTTTATATCATGCAAAGCATTCTAAGTAAATACACACATTATTCTAATATGCTTTGAGTGAAATATTGGTGACGACAAATTCAGGTAATAAAAGCCTGAGACACAGCTGGGTGGTACTTTCTCAGGTAATTTACTGATTACTGTGACCCCTTTGCTACTTTGTCACAATGGGGTTATTATTTTCCCTCTTACTACTACAAAGAAAATTGTCACCCTTATGAGATGTAAGGCACCCCTCATGCCTCCCTTTCACATGTGAACACAAAAAATGTTAGCAGAAATCCTTCCTCCCATTTTCAGTCTTGATTTGAGGACAGTGTCAGGACTGCCTGATGTGGAGTTACAATTTCTTTTTTTAGGATTGTGGGATGGCTGAGGACACTCCAGTGACCGAACTGAACTTTGAATATTGGTTGGATAAAGCTATTGAATGGGGTCAAGCCACCACGCTGGAATCCCAGAAGGATGTGTGCCTTCATCTGCCCGAGCTCCAAAAGTTCCTACATGCGGTTTATGAAACTTTGAAACATATGGTAAGTGACTCTAAAAGGAAGAGTGACCTGTCTTGAAGACACCTCAGAAACAATCTGCACCGTGTTTTGACAAAAACAGAAGCTAACAGTAGCAAAGTGGTTTGTGTTATTGACCTAACGTATTGCTGGATCAGAGAGGCAAATTGGGGCAACAGTCACAGGTAATGGAAACAGGAGTGTGCTTCCTGTAGCCCTGATTTATTGTGAAAGGAGCTTTTTCTTCTTGATTGGTTGTTGTCACGTGAGATTTCGTAGCCAATGCTCTAGCCTCTTTAAAGAACCCTTTAAAAATAAACAAGAATTTGATTCTGGTTGTCAGGTCATAAATTAGATTATTTAAAGGCCTTAACATGCAAAACTGTAACTGATCCTTTAAATCTTAGAGAGTCTGTTGACACGTTAACCCCAGTGTTGTGGCACACATAGTGAATTCTAGCAGAATGGTCAGATCTTTGGCATATGCTACTGCCTGTTCTGTTTAGCAATTTAATTACTGTCTTCACTCTACTGAGTGCTTTTTTAAAAAACAAATTTAGTTTTTTATATGTTTAGTTGTGTTTATGTTTTTTCTGATCATGTCTTTTTCAGTATAATTATCTTAAAAAATAATGTATTATGGCGTAAAGATGACTTCTTATGGAAGTATTTATTTTTAAATATTCTTTTTATCTGAAGAGTGTAGAGTTATTACAATTTTCTGAACTGAATTTAACTTTTAAATAATTTTTTTTTGGGGAGTGGTGTTTCTTCCTGCTTTTTTATATGTCTTTTTCTTAAGAGGGAAGTAAAAAAAAAAAAAAAAAGTTGCTACTTCAAGTAATCCGAGGCTTAGCCTGAAATGGACCTTGTGAATATGGCCCCAGAAAGTCTAGGGCTAGCCCCAAATGTGAGACAAATGTAAGGAATTTATTGCAGCAGCAGGAGATGGTTATCGTTCCTGCTACTTGCATGTTATCTCAGAACAGCACCATTTTTAAAAGCCTTCATTTATTAGATAGTAAAGCTACAAAAATGGAAAAATAAGACTGATTGCAGGGGATTGTATATAAAATACATTGTCTACTGCTTTTACAGTGAAGCTGGTTTCTATTTGGTTAAAAGTTAAATGGCAGTTTGTTACTGGCTGGTTAGTCATTACATAAGTTAAAGAAAACAAGCAAAAGTAACAGAAAGACACTTAGTTTTGTCCATAGTGGGTATTAATTTCTTCAGAAACTGTGAGGCAGTATATAAAGCAGTGAGGATGACCACAAATGTAGTTCAATTGTGCTTTTATTATCATGGGATCTTGCTTACTAGTACTGTTTTCAGATTACTGGATGTGAGGCAAATGAGATTTTCTAGCATAATGAAATATTAGGTGAGGAAATTACCTACTTAAGATTTAATTTATTTGAATTATGACATTATAGCCAATTTCAGGAAGTTCTGCTTTTATTACGTATCTGCAGGTGTTCTGCTTCCAGAACATTACACAACAAAACCATTGTGATTGTAATTTCCAAAAATCTGTATCATTAATGGTTCTCCTAACCTACTTTTGATGTTCAGTGTATTTATTATCTTTTTGTTTGTTTTTATGTTTTAACAGGATTCAGTTGTAGCAATCCAGCGGTTTCCGTTAATTGGCCAGCTTTTAGGAAGGCTTTGTTGGAATCCTTTTGTTATAGGATATGGTAAGAACATGTAATGATATTTCTGCAGCAGTTCCGTAAACTTTATTCTAAAGGAATTAGGAAAATATGACTTGTTATATACTTTGACTTTTTCCCAAAAGCAGAGCAATCTTTTTTACTGAAGTGAATTTTGGAGATTAAAAGATTAGCCAAATTATTTAAAATATGTGGCATTGTGAAATCTTAAATTTACTTTGGGAGCTAATTAATTTAATTGATTAGTTAGAGAATCTTTACTTGGAAGCAGTAGATTTTAAACCCAGTGAGTGTTACTGTGCATCATGATTTAAGTTTTTCTTATTTTCTTGACATATTAATTACATTTTTGTTAGGTTCTCAATATGCATAAAATCAAGTGTTCCAGATTACTTTAAACAAAAATTTCTTGCACTTATACATAATAATATTCTATTATATATGCTAATATAAAATAATTATTTTTTCTGATACTTGGTTTGTTTTTACATTGGTGTAGAGCTCTCCTAATTTATGGGTGTGTTTGGATTTATTGAGTTTATTCTGAGTATGTGTTTTCTTCCTCTTGTGAACTAGTGAAAATGCACGTAGAATCAAAACCAAAGCTGTGAAGTGGTGACATGGGAAAAAAGTGTATGAAAAACTAAAAGCCTCTTACTGGTAGTGTATGTAAGTGTACGTGAAAATAAGCATGATAAAAATAAACTGGGGACAGAAGAACTGTTGGGAGGGAGGAAACACTACTTCTGTACCTCACCAGCAGCTCCAGTACATTTTTTGGGAAGTGAGATGTTGATAAATGACTTGTGATCTACCTTTAAGCAGAAAACTAATGCTGAGCTTCTCTGTGAGTCCCTTAAAATAATCTTTTGCCAGTTTTCTGCTACTACTACAGCTACAAAGAAAACCCCCAAAAGTCACATTTTGTCTCTTGTACTTTATGCCCCCTTTTGGGGAAATACAGGAAAGAACAATTTTTGGTTCACCTAGAAGGGCTTATTAAGTCAAGTACAGCATATGTCTTCTGATTTGGCTTTGTCTTCTAGTCAGCTCCAAGCACAAACAGAATGAACTTGTCTGCAAAACACATGGTAGGTGTGTGTTATGTCATCACTTCCCCTCTGAAACGAAAATTTGGGAAGGAATCATTGATTTAAATATAAATCACTTTTGCAGGGTGGCAAATGTGTGCTTTTGTGGCACCTTTTGAGAAAAGCCTTCTTCATACTTTGTAGGCTTTTTTTTTTTTTTTACAATGGAGAGGCTCCCTTTTTTGATCATAGTTCTAGTTTTTCAGAAAGTTGGTAATTGTTGATGTTTACAATTACACATATGCTTTTCTTCTAAGCTTTTGTTTGGAGTGTACAAGTCTTTAGACCATCAGTTTTTCTGAGCTGACAATGTGTTCTGGTCTATTTTTCCTCACAGTTGAAAGCCATGTGTTTCTTCTTTTGACTCCTTTTCACAACAGCCCCAGAAATACGCTTTTGATTTCCTCTACTTCTTTCTTCTTTGGGTACCTCAGCATTTTCTAAAACAAGAAAAGTACTTTTTTTGCAAATCGATCATTACCTCTGAAGATTGCAAGAGAATGAAGTTTTGCTATAGGTTTTTTTTGGTCTCAAAGTTACAAGCAAGCCGAATCAATGAACTTCACTTGCTCAAGTTTGAATCCTTCACTTCAATGCTTAAAGATGAGTCAGGTAGATTTTCTGACATCAGTAGTCCTGAAGATGTCTGCTTACACATTCCCACTACTTCTTCTTTTTAGAGCCACCTGAGCAATCTTTGTACTGCTGGCATTTTGGATTCAGCAGATTTTGATTTTGTTTGGGACTAGTTCTGAAGACACTCTTTAAGATAGTGCTGGCTGTAGTAGATGCTGAGTCTCAAGTGGGTTTCGTGTAATTTCTCATTTGGATAAATAGCTCATTCAGCTGTGTGTGTGAGACCAGGCCACCCTTGCAGTAGAAGGAACGAATTTTGTTCAATTCAGTCTTTCATACTAATAAATGGAGGAGGGAAAACATTATACTTCTGCATCATGTCCAAACCACAATACCTATCACCTCAGGTGAATGTCTGTTGGTGCTGGAAGCTGACATGGCTGACCACTCAGTGCAGGAAGTGTGGTCTCCAAGGGAAAATAATCTCCTCATAAACACCCCTGAGCAGGAGGTGACCAAGTGAGCCTTATTTAGAATGCTAACGTGAAGGAAGCACAACTGAAGAAAATCTCATGGCTGTACTTGTGGTCCTAAGCCACAAGGGATATATGAGGAATTCAGTCTTGGTAAGGAATTCTAATTTTTTTTTTTTTTCTGTGGCCTGGGGGATTATCTTCTCAGTAGGACCCTCCTGGTTTGAGTTTTGATCCCAAATGTCTTGAATCCCAAACTAATACTATAAATGCTGGGGAATATCTTGGTGGCTCTGTATGTCACTATATGTGTGTGAGCATGCATGCTTATTATGTACGCATTCATTTCCACAGAAATGTATCTAATCAACAAGAAATGTAGCTAATCAACATTATCTGATATATTTCAATAAAACTTTACAACAAGCTCTAAAAAGAGTATTTCTGGCTGTAAGATTAGGGTTTTCTGCATTTTGGCCCTGTTCATGAGAGGGTATTTATAAACTGACTGTGTTATGCCTTTTTTTTTTCTTTTTCCTCTCTTTCCTTCTTCTTTTTTTTTTTTTTTTTTTGTTGTTGTCCCATGGAAAGTTTTCATTCATTTAGTTGGAGTTACAATATTAACCTACTCAAGAAGTCAAGAAGATAGCTGGTGACCTTTTATGAGATGCAATTTTCACCTTTGAGTTACTGATTTTTTCCTCTTGATGTACTGATTGGGTATTTTAGTAGTGAGTGTTCTTTCATGCCATCGTAAGATCAAATGCCTTAATTTATATCCTGGTAATGGTTTTCAGTGCATATGTTGACGATGGGTTTTCAGTGGGGATCAGAGTTAGTAGAAGCACAGGAGGAAAAAAGCCACCAGCAGGTTTTCTGTGGCTGTGTTTGGTCTTTTGATATGGTTATCTTGCAGCTGCCATAATTATTTTAAGACCTGTCCCTCCTTATTCTTGATCTTCCAATCTTTCATCACCAGTTTAAAGCAGTTGTAAAAAGAAAATGGTGAACCTGAGAGCATCCCTCAGAGTGTCATTGGGTTCTTCAGCAAGTCGCCTGTAGGTCCCTTTTTCTGGACCCATAGGTTTCATAGACCTATGGGAGGTTTCTTCAGTTTTGGTTATAGCCAATAAGTAACTGTAACTTAAATAAAATTACTTAATGTCATACTGTAGATGTATAGTATGAATAGTCAAAAGAAGGAACACTTGAACTGTGTATATACATATTTAGGATAAGCAATTTAGGCTTAATTGTTTTTCTTTTCTCCTTTCATTTTTTATATAGTTTTGGTTTTTTTTTTAAATATAATTAATGTAATTGGAAATGATCTGTAATGCAAGACTTTATAAACAGAATATTTTACTTCTGGTAATAAATAATGTTTAAAATCTTAATTTTCTAAGAAGCAAATGGCTATCATTTAGTCATTTAAACAAATAAACCAGTATTTGTTTATTTTTCTTCCCATATAATTTCATATCAGAATTTTAAGGTGAAACACTTTTTGAAGGAGATGGATTTGTCTCTTAGTGCTGATATCTGAATGCTAGTTGGACATAATTCCAGTCAAAGCGTATGGACAGTTTCAATTTATGCTGAGTAGTATGCAAGATACCACCTTTAACTCCAATCTTGAACAACCTAGGAAATTGTTAGCCTTGTAAAAATCCATATTTAAAAAAAAAAAAAAAAAAATCCCCAAACACACAATGGCAGAATACCCCAAATTGTAGTCAGTTAAATCTGTATGTTTGAGTAACCATTTCTGTGCAGAGATGTTAGTCAGTGGGAGGCCGGTAATGGCCTACAGGCTTGCTGGACATTTATTGAGGAATACTGGTTTAAATCAATATTAGCTTCTCTGATCTGGTGAAAATACAAGCATTACTTAATGGAGCCTTTATTTTTTCTTCAGGCTTTGCCAACAAAGCACTTCTAAATAATGCTATTTATTACATCCTGGATAACAAATACACAGAAAACAAAAGAAAACTTGCCGAGTTTGATAATCAAATTGTCTCCTAATATAATTTTTAAAACTCATATGATATTACTAATTTGTATTATTTTTAACAAGAATAATATTGCTTACTAGGTGAATTTTATACCAGAGCTACAATACTATATCCAGTTTTCATAATTTTTATTACAATAATGAACAATAATAATGAAGTTTTATTCTGAGTGTCTGCCAAAGAATGTTAAAAACAAACCCCAAAAAACCAACAGACAAAAAACCATGAACAAAAGGCCCCACCCAAACAAATAAACCTATTGAAAACAAAACTGTGGGAAATAATGACAAATTGAATGGCTCTTACGGTGCTTATTCCAAATAATCAGCTCCTCTATAACGGTATCTGAGAGGAGGCATAACAGTATGTGAGAGGAGACAGCTCATTCCAACAGTGCCTTAGAATAAACTAAAACCTGATCTCATCCTGAATAGAAAATCAAAATAGGATTTTTTTTTCCCATCAGCATTTAGCTATTATTCTGCCTGCAGAAATGTAATTTTCCTGAAGCATGGAAAATCCTAATATATTTCGGCAGAAAACTTGATGTTTTATATTCTTGTTATGAGTGAATTCATAACTTTTTCAGAAGTGAGCATTCTTTGATTGTGCAAGCTTTGGACACAATGTAATAACTATTTTGCTACTGCTGATTATTGCTTGTTACATTATTTTGATATTGGAGTGAAATGTATCGATTCTGAAATTGCCTGAAATTACTATATAAATTCATCAATAGGTCATGCATGTATCTGTTGTATAGATTTTGAACTTCTGTTGAAGGAAATGATTACACAAAAACTATGTATGAATAACGTTAAATGTGAGGTGTGAATCTGGTAGAATAGAAGCATTATGAATTGAGACTGAAACTTAGGGCTTTAGTTTTGCTGATGGATAGGGATTGTTGTGTGTACTTTTCTCTGTGTTTTGATTTTTCTTTTTTTTTTCTTTTTTTTTTTTTTCTCCCCCCAAATGTATCCTTATTTGCTTTTTTTCCTGCAGATGAAAGCCAGAAGACTCTGATGTGGTGCTTATGTTGTCTATACAGCAGTGAACCACAGAACCCTGTGGAATTGAAGGCCAACAGCTGGATACGGGTAAGTGAATGAATCCTTCCCAGGACTGCTTTAAATTAAGTTGATTATTTAAAGGTGCTGCATCTATAGCATAGAGACACTGTCATTTAAGAAACTGCTCCAAACACAACTTGCATACATATTGTGTTGATGTATATAGCACTCTAATTAGAATATTAATCTGTTATATTAAATATTAAAAAGATGTGGCATTTAAAAATGGATCGTTTTGGTGACTTTTAACCTGGTAGATGCACCAGGATATTCAGATAACTCATATAATAGCTCACTATTAAGATAACTGATTAGTGAGCAGCGAACACAAATCAGAAGGGAAAAAAGTATCATTGAAAAACCAAACCCAACCCCTTTTTATTTAGGACAAAATAAATAACCAGGAGAAACGCCATAGCTTGTTTTGAAAACAACTTACATTTGCTCTTTAATATTATTCTTTCTTGCTTTTGTTTAATCTCCTGCCTATGAAGAACATAATTCTATCCAAACTTTCATCAAAGCAGCCAGAGAGGGGAGGCTTAGTGCTTGTCTGTGGATTTATATTTACTGGCTTAAGGAATAATGAATCCTTAACTTTAATCCCAAATTTAGGGTTTTGCATGGTACATCTTTTCATATTTTATACATTTCCACACTGAACTAGCAAAGCACATCAGCATGTAAATAACTTGCAGCATATTGATGCGTAGTGCTTTACATTGCTGAGTAGCAGTTTGAGGATTGTTGATTTTACATCTTTGCATTCTCCATTGGTCCATGTCAAAATATGCTTATAGATATTAATGGACTTGCTAATATTTGGTGCTTTTGTTTTTATTTTATAGTCGTTACAACCAGTGGTAATATAGCAGCCTGATCATTATTTATGTGCATGTCTGCTGAAGCTGAAAATACTCGTAGGCTTCTTTAGTTAATTTCTTACTTAATAGTTGGCGCTACTGCTTTTATTAGTACTGCCACCTGAAAGGGTCTTAGTCTGGGACCAGCATGTAAGCATTTGAGTCAAGCCTCGCTGTAGTCCCGCAGGATTTTTTTCTACCTACTATGTGTTTTTGAATCAATCTTAGTAGTCATTGTGACTTGATGGGTCAAGAGTTAACCTAAAAGTTATAGGGAAGAGGGCATTGAGTTCAAAGCATAAACATGTTTTACTACCTATTTTTATCATTCAGCACTTCCCTAGTTGCCTAATGTGAGTGTAGCTCAATATGATATGAAATGCAATACTTTTATATTTTAATTGGAGGGAAAGAAAGAACTCTTGAGAAACTTAAAAAAAAAAAAAAAAAAGAAAGGATAGGTAAGGGAGAATGGAAAATGCACAGCACCAGGGTACAAAAGTTGAGATTAAAAGAAGGGGTATTATAAAATTGTTTATATAATCATTAGAATTTAGTCTTGGATTCGTATTGTCCAGCATTCATTATAGAATCATAGAATAGTTAGGATTGGAAAGTATCTTAAGATCATCAAGTTCCAACTCCCCTGCCATGGCCAGGGACACCTAACACTAAACTATGTCACCCAAGGCTCTGTCCAGTCTGGCCTTGAACACCGCCAGGGGTGGAGCATTCACAGCTTCCCTGGGCAACCCATTCCAGTGCCTCACCACCCTAAAAGGAAAGAATTTTTTCCTTATAGCCCGTCTAAACTTCCCCTGTTTTAGTTTGAACCCTTTACTCCTTGTTCTATCACTACAGTCCCTAATGAAGAGTCCATCCCCAGCATCCTTCTAGGCCTCCTTCAGATACTGGAAGGCTGCTATGAGGTCTCCACGCAGCCTTCTCTTCTCCAGGCTGAACAGTCCCAACTTTCTCAGCCCCAACTTCTCTCAGAGTTTAGCTTCTCAATTTTCTGCTGGGCTAAGCAATGCTGGAAAGGTGGTGGACACCACTTGTTTCCAAATGTATGCAGTGGAAAGCAATGACTATATTATTATTTCCTTTGGAAACTGCAGCACTCAGTGAACAAAATTCACCACTTGAGAGTACCTCTTTGATAATGCAAACATGTTTTCAGGTAAAGGATTTTCATTTTGCCAAATTCAGCGTTTGCAGAAAACTGCAACACTTGCTTGCTGGAGTTTCTCTGCTTTTTTAGGGAACTAGGAGGTTCCAGAACTTCAGTGTCACCTTGTTATTTTATACATAGCAAACATGGAAACGTGTTTGAATAGTTTAATATAGTGTGTATTTAGTAAAACGCCTGATTGTACAGCAGTGCTCAAATGTTTCTTGTAAAAAGGGGCTTGTGTTTTGGTTTGGCTTTGTGTGTGTGTTTTGTTGTTGTTTTGGTTTGGCTTTTTCTTTTTTTTATTTGAGTTATAAATCTGAACACATAACATCAAGTCCTTCTGTCTTTAGTATTGTTACACTTGCCTCCTGAAGAGGACACCTTAGAGCATCTGAATGGGAATCTTGTTTTCCAGAAGAATGGAAGGCATATATCTGTCTTCCAAATGCCAGCTTTTTGACTTACCTTGAAGTTGTATTTATTTAGACTAAATTTGATGGAATTCTGTCTATTGTGTTAAATGGTATTGAAGTGTTTTGCGGTGGATTGCTCAAAAAAGCCAGATCAAGAAATTTACTGCCAATTAAGCACAGGATGTTTGAGATTTTTAGTGATGTTCTCCGGATGACCTGTGTTTTTTATGATCATCTTGACTTTTTAATTAAACTACAGTTTTAATTGAATTGGTTCAGTTAATGAAGCACTGACCTTTCACCCCTACTTCTGAATCTGGCAGAATTTTCAGCAAAATGGGTTTTTACGACCTTTGCTTTCTGTGCAGCAGTATTTCTAAGACTGTGATGAATTAGCATTAAAAGTATGGTCAATCAGTAATCGTTCAAAATGGAAACATTTGTGATTTACTTTTCGGGACAGATGCACCTGCTTAGTTACAAATCAAAATGCTTAGTTACATCTCGCTATACACTTATATTTGTGTTTGGTTTTCCTTTCCTGTTTAGATGTCAAGAGATTTTTTTTTGCTTGTATCTTGGATCATCCAGCTGTCTGATCAGGTGTTTGTTGAATATTGAATGACAATATTTGTCATTCTTAATAGTTTAACTCATTAACATACATCTTGAGTAGGCAACAGTATTCAAGAAGAGAATAGAACCAGCACTGTTATAAAAACAGGAGTTCAGCAAAATTGTTTTTCTTAAAATTTTAGGGTTTAAGCAGATTTACTGTTTTGTCTGTCAGGGAAGAGTTGTTCATTGATTTACTGGAACTTTGTAAGATTATTTAGTTACTCCTGAATATTACAAGAGTGAAGGTAGAAAGTTGACATTGATGGAACTGCAGGGAAGTTGTGGAGAATAGCTGATGGAAAAAAAATGGAAAGAAGTCAAGGTCTGGGAGTGTGATATGTAGGTCTGCACGTTTCAATGTATTTTGGCTTTATTTGGAATGAGTTACCAAAGCGTTTATAGTATTTCTATCACAATGAGCATAGTAAAGCATCAGTAAGGCATGAAGGAAATGAGACTACGTTATCCTTGAGAAATAGAGGAATTGTCCTCGTATGTTTATAGAATATTCAAAATAGCTTTTATGTGAAATAGAAGATGGAAACGGGGAGTAGAATCATAGAATAGGTTTTTTCTCACTGTAGAATTGGGGAATAGTTTGCAGGCTGGCAGGGGCGATACTGTTGTGGGGGTCTGTTACAGGCCACCGGATCAGGGTGAGGAAGTTGATGAGACCTTCTACAGGCAGCTGAGAGCAGCCTCACAGTCACAGGCCGTGGTCGTCGTGGGGGATTTTAACTTCCCTGATGTTTGCTGGAAGGACTACTCAGCAACCCAGCCGCAGTCCAGGAGGTTCCTCCAGTGTATGGATGATAACTTCCTCATGCAAATGGTGGATGAGCCAACCAGGAGAGGTGCGCTGCTGGATCTCATCCTCACTAACAAGGAGGGTCTGATCGAAGCAGTGAAGGTTGAGGGCTGCCTTGGTTGCAGCGACCACGAGATGGTAGAATTCAGGATCTTGTGTGGTAGGGCCAGTAGAATAGCAAGTAGAATCGCAACCCTGGACTTTATCAGGGCAAACTTTGGCCTCTTCAAGCAATTGCTAGGGGAAATCTCATGGGCTAGGCTGCTTGAAGGTAAAGGGGCCCAAGATAGTTGGTTGACGTTCAAGGACTGCTTTTTCCGAGCTCAAGGTCAGAGCATCCCGACACATAGGAAGTCAAGGAAGAGGGTCAGGAGACCTGCGTGGCTAAATAGGGAATTGCTGGGTATGCTGAAGTGGAAGAGAAGAGTTTACAGGTCATGGAAGGAAGGGCTGGCCACTTGGGAAGAATATAAGGCTGCTGCTAGAGGATGTAGGAAAGCTGCTAGGATGACTAAGGCCTCCTTGGAATTAAAGCTGGCGAGAGGGGTCAAGGACAGCAGAAAGAGCTTTTTCAAATACATGGAGGTAAAACTAACACCAGAGGCAATGTAGGCCCGCTGATGAACGGGACGGGTGCCCTGGTGACAGAAGGTACAGAGATAGCAGAGTTACTGAATGCCTTCTTTGTCCCTGTCTACTCTGCCGGAGGCAGTCCTGAAGAGCCCTGTACCGCTGAGACCTCAGATGGAGATAGGTCAACGGAGCGGTTTGCCTTAGTCGATGAGGAATGGGTTAGAGACCAGTTGAGCAATCTGGACATCCATAAATCCATGGGTCCAGATGGGATGCACACGCAGGTGCTGAGGGAACTGGCGGAGGTCATTGCTAGACCGCTCTCCATCATCTTTACCAAGTCTTGGGAAACGGGAGAGGTGCCTGAGGACTGGAGGAAAGCAAATGTCACTCCTGTCTTCAAAAAGGGCAAGAAGGAGGACCCGGGTAACTATAGACCAATCAGCCTCACCTCCATTCCTGGGAGAGTGATGAAACACCTTATCCTTGGTGCCATCTTAAGGCATATCAAGGATAAGAGGGTTATGAGGGGCAGTCAACATGGCTTCACCAAGGGGAAGTCATGCTTGACCAATCTC